CCTCAAGGATATAAAAAAGGACCAACTAGAAATTAAGCATACACTGACTGAAATAAAGAATATTATACAGAGATCCAACAGCAGACAAGAGGATCGCAAGAATCAAGTCAAAGGTCTGAAGTACGAAGAAGTAAAAAACACCCAACCAGAGAAGCAAAAAGAAAAAAGAATCCAAAAATATGAAGATAGTGTAATGAGCCTCTGGGACAACTTCAAGCGTACCAACATCCGAATTATGGGGGTGCCAGAAGAAGAGAGAGCGCAAGATATTGAAAACCTATTTGAAGAAATAATGACAGAAAACTTCCCCTACCTGGTGAAAGAAATAGACTTACAAGTTCAGGAAGCGCAGAGAACCCCGAACAAAAGGATTCCAAAGAGGACCAAACCAAGACACATCATAATTAAAATGCCAAGAGCAAAAGACAAAGAGAGAATCCTAAAGGCAGCAAGAGAAAAACAGTTAGTTACCTACAAGGGAGTACTCGTAAGATTGTCAGCTGATTTCTCAACAGAAACTATGCAGGCCAGAAGGGAGTGGCAAGAAATATTCGAAGTGATGAATAGCAAGAACCTACAACCAAGATTATTTTACCCAGCAAAGCTATCATTCAGAATTGAAGGGCAGATAAAGAGCTTCACAGATAAGAAAAAGCTAAAGGAGTTCATCACCACCAAACCAGTATTACAAGAAATGCTGAAAGGTATTCTTAAAGAAGAGGAAGAAGAAAAAAGTAAAGATAAAAATTATGAACAAATACATATCTATTAACAAGTGAATCTAAAAATCAAGTGAATAAAATGTGCTGGGCTGCATATCTGGCACTTTGGCTAGATGGGTCATGCTGTGCTGTCTGTTCCTAAAACACACAGATAGGAAGGTACTGACATCAGGCCAGGCCTTGAGATATGGTCTCATGACCCCTTCCCAGCACGCAGGCCTTCTTTCTCAGAAGGCCCGGAAGTCTCATTCCAAATTTGGGAGACAAAGGACTGGAAAAAGTATAAATAAAGAGAGTTTCCTCCATATTGGGGGGCCCAGAATTTGAAAGACACATTTTTCTCTGGGCCTCCACAGAATTTAATAATAAAATGTAACTCCTGTAGTCTGGGCTGCAGTTCAGCCTCTGCTTCGGCAGGGTGCTGTAACTGTGGTCAGCTGGCCAGCAAAATAAAGGCTCTTAAATTCTGAGTCGGTGGTCTATCTCGCTGAGTGAACCCATAACAAAAAAATCTGATGAACAGAATAAACTGGTGATTATAATAGAATCAGGGGCATAGAAAGGGAGTGGACTGACTATTCTTGGGGGGGAAAGGGGTGTGGGGGATGCAGGAAGAGACTGGACAAAAATTGGTGGTGGCTGCAATGAAGAGGATCAGTTGAAAAAACAGCCAAAATGAGAATCCTGAAATAAATAAATGATTGTCTGGGAATCCCTTTGTAATGCCAATATGCATTCCTTTTTCTTCTTTACAGTCAAATTATATTAGTTCTTTTGCAAAGCAAGACAAAAAGGTACAGCAATCTAAGCTGAGTGGATATTAAGTTTTATAAAAAGTAATGTATTATTTAACAGCAGTTCATCATGGTATAATCAGATAATGGTACTGGAAATTTTTTACCATACTAAATCATTTAATTAAAAATTTACTTCTGAAGATTAAAAATGGTGGCAGAGTAGGAGGATGCTGCACGGACATGTTCCCAGGAACAAGCTGGAATTACAACTGAAATACAGAAAGGCTTCCTGAATAATCAATGGAAAACTCACAGGAAAGAACCCTAATACCCAAGGACTGAAGGTGGAGACCTCATAGAGACTGGTAGGAGGGGCGGAGGCGCGAAAGGGTTGGCCAGGCACCCACAGACAGCTACTGAAATCCCAGAAAGATATCTCAGCTGTGGGTGGGGAGGGGGGTGCCACTGAGAACTCTGGGATCTAATCCCGAAGTTGGGCTCCCCAGCAGAGAGCACCAAACTGAGGAAGGTACCCACATAACATCTGGCTGTGAAAAGCAGTGGGGTGCTGTCTGCCAGGGAGTGGAGCTGAAAGTTCAGGAACCCTCTTAAAGGGCCAATGCACAAAAATTCCTTGTGGAGCCATCTACCTAGTGCTCTGGCAGAGGGAGGGTGAAGCAGACTGGAGCTGTGAGAGCAGAACCCAGGATTGGGGACTCAGGGGACAGAGCTCAGAAGGCAGACACCCCAAGTTTCCTGGGCTGAGTCATTCCCTCACACAGCGGAGGACATCTTTCCCACAGTCATTTGCCTTGCATGGGGGGAAGACAGTTGACACATTCTAGTGGAAAACACCTTGCCCTGAGGCCACTTAAGAGATTAAAAGTAACAATTAGCCTCCAGGCAGAAGCAACTGCCCCACCCTGTTGAAAAAAACTCTCGCCACACCCAAGGATAACTGCCTGGGGTTGATTCAAAATCCTGTTAACTGTAGATAGAGGTGGTCTCTGGAGGCTTTGAGTCTTTGTCTAATCCAATTAGTCAGAAACAGCCTTTAATACTGTCCTGCACTAGAGATTGAAAGGTATAGAGCAGTGGTCGGCAAACTGCAGCTGGAGAGCCACATGCAGCTCTTTGGCCCATTGAGTGTGGCTCTTCCTAAGCCTTAGGAGTACCCCAATTAAGTTAATAACAATGTACCTACCTATATAGTTTAAGTTTAAAAAATTTGGCTCTCAAAAGAAATTTCAATCATTGTACTGTTGATATTTGGCTCTGCTGACTAATGAGTTTGCCAACTACGGTAAGGCATAAACCAGGGTAGACAGGACTGCTCACTCATTGGCTCATGGAGGCAAATGTTCCAAGGTGAGCTGGCCTGCTAGTGTGGAATTTGTCAGTCAAAAACTAGCTTCCCATGGATGTAATTAGAAAGATAATAATAAAATAAATGTTTGAAATGGCAGTGCTAATGAATAGACAGTCTTTCCAAGGCATTGTGAACCAGTGAGACACGTGATGCTGGGCTGATGTTGTGGCGTTCACTGTGACATTCGCTGCGCCAACTAGCGGTGGGGTATCTGAAGCTGGCTCATAACCCAAATTTTACCTCGCAACTCAAAGCAAAAAATCGGCCGAGAGACGGCTCGTATCTCGAAAAACTCATTAGTCGGGACACTCGTAAGTCAAGGCTCCACTGTATTACAAAGAGTATTACACATGTCTTTTTTCTCCCCCTTGACATTCCCCCGGCAACCCCCACCCCACAGTGTCTTGTGTCCATTGGTTATTCTTATATGCATGCATACAAGTCCTTCGGTTGATCTCCTACCCCCCACCCCCCAGCCCTCCCGAGGCTTCCCACTGTAGTTTGACATTCTGCTCAATGCTGCTCTGCCTCTGTATCCATTTTTGTTCATCAGTCTATAATGGTCCTTATTATCCATAAATGAGTGAGTTCATGTGGTATTTTTCAATATAATCACAAGAGTTCTTATAAGACGGTGGTTCTCAACCTTGGCTGCACATTAGAAGCACCTGGGAGTCTTTTTAAAATCCTGATTTCTGGGCCTCATCCTCCGGAAATTCTGTTTCTTTGTTATGGGGTGGGGCCACAACATTAGTAACAAAGAAACAGAATTTCCGGAGGATGAGGCCCAGAAATCAGGATTTTAAAAAGATTCCCAGGTGATTCTAATGTGCAGCCAAGGTTGAGAACCACTGCACTAGAGCAAAGTGAGCCTGGAGCAAGTTACTGTTGCAGTGGGGGATGGAGGGAAAGCAAAGGTGAGAGACATAAGTAAAATCAGAGTGTCTAGGAAAAATTAAAGGGAAGATATCCTAAAGCTTCCAGGAAATCTCCACCAATGGAGCAAAGAGAAAAAAAAAGCCTCTATTATTCTGTGAGCAACAAACCAAACTGAGTTGGGGTCACAGACAATTCGCTCATATGATTGCAAAGACAGACAGAAACTCCCCGAATGGAGAGGGCTCCCCTGAGGGCTCCCAGATTGGAGAGGGTGCAGGTCGGGCTGAGGGACCCCCACACCCCCCAGTGCACGAATGTCGTACACCAGGCCTCTAGTTTATTCCATATTTTCAAGTCATACTGAGGTAGCTGTGGTAAGTCAAATGAGTGCCAGAGACTAAGGCTAGGGTTGAAAAGTAAGGCATCATTCATCCATTCATCACATATCTGTTGAGCAATCACCATGTGCCAAACATAATTCTGAGCTTGACTGGCAAGGATCCTATGCTCATGGAATGTGCGCAAGTGCAGTGAGAGGGAGGTGACCAACACTGAACACGTGAACACAGAACCACTTCAGAAGTGAAAAGTGCTCTGAAGAATACCAGGTTTGACCGGCTGGCAAATGAGCTGCTTTAGGAAGGTGGACAAGAAGGGCCTCTCAGATCTACTTGATAACCCAGCCATATGAAAAAAGTTTTTTAAAATTTAACAAAGCATTTTACTAGAGGCTCAAAGACTCATAATCACATTTTGAACATACATATATCTTATGAAGTTCTCATAAGAAACAACTCACCGGTGTGAAAAAGTAAAGCACAAATACTGTGTTCACTAAGAGCTAATCAAGATTGCTCTCTTCACAAAAACAAACACAACTTTTCTTGACGGTCTGTTTCAGGAGACCCAGCCATGCTCTGGAAGAACACTCCAATCCAATGGCTCTCCCGGCGTGGGCTCGGCGCTGCCTCGGCTCGCCCGCGAGCCCCCGTGCGGGGACGCGGAGAGCAGTGCTACTTTCTGGCAGGGAAACTCTACAGGAAGCAGACACTCTCCACTTCCTTTACAGGTTTATGCCTAAAATCAGTTTCACCAAAAGAAGGTGTAGAAATTCTTCAGTCTCGGGTAAACTGCACCGCTCAAATCGGGACACCAAGACAGAGCCCCAGAAAACCCGGGTCGTGGGGACGGAAATCCATTCCAGGCCCGTTCGGACTCGGGCTGAAGACACTGCAGTGCCCTAAACTAATTTCCTGGTCTGAAAGCGAGCGTAGCAATGAGTCGTGCCTCCCAAGGTGTGTAAAGATGACCATAAGGAACTTTAAAAGGCGCACGAAGTAACTTAAACTACTCACACCAGGAGGAGCGCAAGCCAGAGCCGCGCGAGCCTTACCTTGACCAGCCACACTCCGGTGTTCTGCTTGGCACCGGTCAGGTCGAGTTCCCCACGCTCCGCCATGGGTGTGTTGCCGGAAGAGGAGTGCGACCCACAGCAGGGCTCGGGTGCTGGGGGCTGGGTGCTGGGGGTGAGTGTCCGGAGCACGACGCGAGCCGCGGAGAGAGGCCGACGCCTCGGCGCCCAGATGCCAGGAAGGTGGAAACCCCGGGAAAGAGGAACCCGCCGCTGGGAGCCCGGAACTGCGCTTGCGCACTTCCACCGTCAGTACGGCTCGCTGGTGCAGACAAACTTCCTGTCGGCAAACTTTTTTTTTGAGTGGGCGTGGCTACTGGTGCTGGCTGTGTCCTAGAGCCAGAGGGAATGGGCCAAAGAACTTAGGCAGGCAATGCATTTAAAGACTACTAGGCCAACAGAACTGCAAGAGGAAAGGGTCAAGACAGAAAAATAGAGCTCAAAAAGACAAAGGCTGTCAATATATGTCCAACCTGGCCAAGGAGAGACAGCATTTGGAGGACAGTGTTGTAGTAATAAATAAATTATGGGAATTAGCACAAGTGGGCACTGGGATCAGACTAAGTAGCCTTTGGGTATACTGAAAACATGCTGTTTCTAGACCTGAAGAAAAAGCAGTATCTCAACTGAGAGGCTACCCTGAGCAACTCTGATTAAGTAAACAGGACACTCAAACTCGAAAACCTGGAGTCCATGTAATTAAATTAGTGACAATAGACTTGTAAGAGACAAACCTGATTGTTAAATTCCCCTGCTTGAACAGTTTCCTCTCTCTCTCTTCCTGCCTCTAGAATAAAATTCAATCCTTTCTACACAGGTCCTCTCAATTTGATCACTACTATTCAATCCAACGCACATCCAACTACACTGAGCCCATCAGATCTCCCCAAAAATATCAGTATCTTCCTCAATTTTTTTCAGTGCCTCTGCACACTGGATTCTCTTCACTCTGATGCTCTATTCTGCCCTTACCCTCACTCTCTCTCCATCCATCCTCTGATGGGCCAACTCCCACTTACTAGTAGGTTTCAAGACTATTAGAAGTGTCACATCTTCTGAGGCCTTCTATCAATTCCTCCAGAGGAAGTTCATTTTGCTTGACATCACAGTATAATATACATGTTTACATGCTTCCTTTTCTTTCTAGACTATGAGCACCTCCTAGGCTGAAATAGTGCTTTATTTGTTTTATATCTACAACATCTAGCACAGTGCTATGGACAGATTTCAATAGGCTTCGGCTGAATGAATATTTGCTGAAGAAAAACAAACAGTAAGATATTATAAGAATGAAATGGCAAGTAATGTATTGAATCATGCATCCGATCCATGCACATAATTGAAGAAATTCTATGTCTGCGAGCACAGGGCCAGTAAAAGCCAGTAGGTCTCTGAGATCAGCTGGTTAACTAATAGGAAAGATGGAAGACCGTGCATGTGTTGAAAACAAAGGTTGCATTCTTGTGCCACAGCTTGGGAAAGGGCCTTAATACTGTATGTATAAAGGACAAGTGTGTGATGAGAGCTGCTTTAAGCTTTGATCATATACAAGGAATAAATTTAAATATGAGACCAGGCAAGAAGGAAATTAAACTAGTCTGGAGCACCCTGGTAATGAACTTTAGAGTAAAGGATTAGAACCTTGGCCTTGATCTATGGGTCGTGTGTGTGTGTGTATGTGTGTGTGTGTGTGTGTGTGTGTGTGTCTGTGTCTGTGTTTACAGGGATTGAGGGAAAACAAAATAGCTAAAGAAGAGATGGCCAAAGAAAAGAAGAGGTGAATATTGGAAAATGATTATATAGAAAAGAAGAAAAAAAAATCCCACAATTTATTGAGTATCTAGCCCTCACCCACTGTTGAATAAAGAACACACTCTCCCTATCTGTGCTTTTCAAACCCCCTTCCTGCTTAAGGAGGGATACTTAAGAGCTGTGAGATAAAAGGAGGACAGGGGCTATTTGAACCAGATTCACAAATTTACTCTGGAGATTTGACAGTGTAACAGATACTGCAGCCAGACCCAGCCCCTCCTAAGGGCCTATAATATGACAGACATTGATAATTTTGGCCTGATACAATTTTTTAAAATATATTTTTATTGATTTCAGAGAGGAAGGGAGAGGGAGAGAGAGATAGAAACATCAATGATGAGAGGGAATCATTGATTGGCTGCCTCCTGCACACCCCCTACTGGGGATCGAGCCCACAACTCAGGCATGTGCCCTTGACCATAATTGAACCCGAGACCCTTCAATCCACAGGCTGATGCTCTATCCACTGAACTAAACCAGCTAGGGCTCGGCCTGATACAATTTTATGTTTTTTTCCACCATGATCCCACATCCTTAAAATCCATTCTTACACATGTTCCCTGGATTTTTGTTCATATCCTATATAATAAAAGCCTAATATGTTAAGTGTCCAGTCATCTGGTTGTCCGTTCAACCAATCAAAGCATAATATGCTAATGATATGCTAAGGCTGCTCAACCACTCACTATGACATGCACTGATCACCAGGGGCAGACACTCCAACTGGTAGGTTAGCTTGCTACTGGGGTCCGGCTGATCGGGACTGAGCAAGATGGGCCGGACATGCCCTGGAGCCCTCCTGTGGTACCTCCTCAGCTGACCAACCCCCTGCGTCCCTCCCCTGCCCCAATCATGCACCGGTGGGTCCCTTGGCCTGGCCTGTGCCCTCTCACAATCCGGACCCCTCGAGGGATGTCAGAGAGCCGGTTTCAGCCCGATCCCCCAGGCCAGGCCGAGGGACCCCACTGGTGCATGAAATTTGTGCACCGGGCCTCTAGTGAATTATGAAACTTAAGTAGTTCTTTTGGAGTATAGCACACCTCCTTGTAGGTCACACTTTCTACCTCACCACTGTGGGCCTACTGGAATTTGAGCCTTATAGGTCTAGAAACAAAGAAAGTGGTAAGTGGGTCCTGAGGAGAATTAGCATTGTCTTGGGAGGAAACAGCCCTAAGGGAAGCCATTACTTTCCTCAGAACAAGTAGAGTTAATTCCCTCGGAGTGGGGTAGGAGATGGAAGGGTTGCTACCACTGAAGGGGAGACTGGTTCTACTGGGGGAAGCCACTTCCACTGACAAAGAAGATTCATCTGAATTTAGGAGCTCAGTGTGCCCAGAAAGCTCTCACTTTAACAGCCTATGAGGCTGGGAGTTCAACTTGTGTTGTAATTCAGCAAATTATGGGAGGGGTTTATGTTTGATTTGTAGTAATCTTAGCCCCAGGGCTACAGGAAACAGGGCTTCCTTCAGGGTACACATTAAAGCTTTCAGGTCATTTATGTGGTGCTTGAGCTGGGAGTTCAAATCCCTGAGCTCATCCGAAACATTCATCAGGAAGAATATATGCACTCGTATCTTCATAGCAGTGCAATTTATAATAGCTAAGATTTGGAAACACCCTAAATGCCCATCAGCAGATGAGTGGATAAAAAAACTGTGATGCATTTACACAATGAAATACTATGCAGCAATAAAAAAGAAAGAGCTCTTACTATTTGCAACAGCATGGATGGAGAATATTAAGCTGAGCCAAATAACCCAGTCAGAGAAAAATAAGTGTCACATGATCTCACTTATATGTGGAATCTAATGAACCAAATAAACTGATGAACAAAAATAGACCCAGAGACATAGAAGCGTGAACAGACTGTTGAACCTCAAAGGGAAGGCAGGGGAGGGTGGGTGGGAAAAGATCAACCAATAAACTTGTATGTATATATGCATAACCCTTGGACACAGACAATGGGGGTGGTGATGGCCTTGGGAGGGGAGGGGACAGGAGTGGACTGGAAGAGGTCAATGAGGGGAAAAGGGGAGTTCATGGAATACTTTCAACAATAAAGGTATTTTTTAAAATCCCTGAGCTCATTCTTTTCTTTCATCACTTTGTCTGCAACATTATAAGCAACCAGCAACCTCATTATATTAGTTAGTTTTTCAAAAATTTTCAAAAGTATCATATACACAGTCCCTCAGATCCTTGCTTCTTTTAAGTGGTTGATTAGGTGTATCCAATGAAGATATTTTATGGATTTCTATTGTCCAATCACACCATGGACTTTCAGTGCTATCTTTACTACTGGAAACAGAATCATTAGCATCTTTAATCAGATTAGAGAGAAATTACAGGAACCCCAGAACCAATTCAGAAAATTCATCCTTAACATTCTGTTTCTCTTGAACCACTTTCAGTACCAAAATTTGTATTGAGCAGAGATGGGGAGGAGAGGAGGCGTTGAGGGCTAGAGAGGGAGATTGATTCTAAGAAATTGGCTCATGCCCTGCCCAGGTTGTTCAGTTGGTTGGAGTGTCGTCCTATACACCAAAAGGTTTCGGGTTTAATTCTGGTCAGGGCACATACCTAGGTTTCAGGGGTTGGGGCACATATGGGAGTCAAATGATGGATCTTTCTCACACTGTTTCTCTCTCTCTCTCTCTCTCTCTCTCTCTCTCCCCCTTCTTTCTAAAAATCAATAAAAACATATTCTTCGGTAAAGATTAATAATAATAATAATTAAAAAAAAGAAATTGCCTCACACAATTAGGGAAGCTGAGAAGTCCTAATATCTGCAGTTGGCAAGCTAGAAACTCTGAAGCATTTATGATTTACTTCCTGTCTGAATCTGAAGGTTTGAGAAGTTGGAGAACCAAAGATGTGAATTCCAGTTCGAGTCCTCATCCAAAGGCAGGAGAAGATCAATGTCCCAGCTTAAAGATAGTTAGGTGAAGAGAGTGAGTTCTCCCTTACTGAACCTTTTTTCTATGTCAGGCTTCAATGAATCAGATGAGGCACACTGGGAAGGGCAATCTTCATTACACAGTCTGATACAACTATTAATCCCTCCAGAAATACCCTCACAGACACACCAAGAATAATGTTGAACCAAATATTCGGGCAACCTGAAGCCCAGTCAGATTGACACATAAAATTAACCATCATATATGGTCTTTACTCTCCCAGATGATTGACTAGTCAAGTTCTTACTAAGTCTTTTAAGGCACAAATGCAAGTCAAGAAGGGATGGCTCAAGTTCACTGCTGGCTGAAAAATTTCCAAGAAGTATAGTAGTGCTTATTTAAAACATGCAATACCTGACGATTTAGTCAGGGGCACTGAGCTCTTTTCTCTTAGACTGTCAAATTTAAAAAATGACAACAGACAATACAATAATAGCACCTGGTGTGAATGCCCTGTCTTGAACCATAAATATATAGGTCATGCAATGGAGTTGCATCTTATTGATCACGTTGCATAATAAAGTTGCATCTGATTGGTTAATTCTTGGTACCAGAAATCCTTATATAGAAGTATAGGTTCCTGAAATTATTTTTGAAAAGGGTGGCTAATTACTACAATTATTATTTTTTAAGTAATCAAAATTATGCCTATTTTTTTGTCAGAGCAACAAAAATGTATATTTTTTGGTGTGTCACAGAATGTTAGTAATTAGTTTATGTGTGCTATGAGATGAAAAAGGTTGAAAATCACTGGCTTAGACCAACCTATGACCCCACCTTTACTTATGGTTTGGATTCTGGTTCAGACCTCAAGACAGCCCTACCTGCTTAATAGGCAGATCTGTGTTCTCTTTGTGGGTCTTCTAGACCAGCTACACAGAAACAAATCCCCCACCACCACCACCACCAAATATGCCTCATTCAGGATGGATGTTTTCAGCTTGTGGTCCCTGTTCAAGCTCATTAAGATCCTCTGAGGGATGTGCTAAAAATTCAGACACCAATTGCCCAATCCACATGAACAAAATCAGAATTTCTGGAAGTGGGTCAGGAAACTGACATTTAAGCAAGCTTCCTGGTATTTTTTAGGCACATCAAAATCTGAGAATCATTGTTCTAATCTCACATTGATAGAGTTTATTAAAACCAGGTCAGACTCCAAGGTCTGAGGCATGAGAGAAATTTTAGCAGAAAATGTTCTCTCTGTCATTTGTCTTACAGCTAGAATTCCCCCATGCCTAGTAAATTCAGAACACCACAATTCTATCATGTAACCATTAGGGTTATAAGCAGCAAAGTCATTAGAGGAGATGTTACAAGTAAGTTGAAAGAATTAGAATGATATTAACAGGTAGCTGAATCCAGTCTCAAATTTTGTCCTTGACTATCACACATGGACCCAGTGCCTCTCCGGGCCAGATATTCTCTTTGTTCACATTCATTCAGAAACATTTTAGCGAGTGGAACTATTACCTTCAGGACAGTTCACATAGGCAAAAAATACCACCAAAAAAGCCTTGTTATGTCCTGGCTGGTTTGGCTCAGTGGATAAAGTGTTGGCCTGCGGACTGAGGGGTCCCAGGTTCGAGTCTGGTCAGGGAAACATGCCTGGGTTTCGGGCTCGGTCCCCAGTAGAGGGCCTGCAGGAGGCAGCCAATCAGTGGTTCTCTCTCATCATTGATGTTTCTATCTCCCCTCCCTCTTCCTTCCTCTCTGAAATCAATAAAAATAAAAATAATTTTCAAAAAGGCCTTGTTAGTAATCCAGACTTACTAAGTATTGGTTCCTAATATAAAGATTTTCATCCACAGATTACAAGTGAATATGTCAATGTGGTAATTAATTAGATTTCACCTACATTGGTGAAGTCATAGACAGATGAATTTGCTTTGACATCACACCAGAGCTATAACACCCCATTTCTCAATTCTCCCTTCCTTTCCATTTGCCTCAATAGTTCTTTCTTTCATAGAATGCCTGCCTTCCATGGGAGATACCTTGTTTCCTCAGCCATACACAAACAGAAAAATTCTCCCTAAGAGAGACCAAGATGGCGGCATAGGTAAACACCAGAGTGGGAGATACGTTTCCTCAGCCATACACAAACAGAAAAATTCTCCCTAAGAGAGACCAAGATGGCGGCATAGGTAAACACCAGAGACTGCTGCCACAAACAACCACTTCAAAAATACAACTAAAAGACGGAACGGACATCACCCAGAACCACAGGAAGGCTGGCTGAGGAGAGACTCTTCAACTAGAAGGAAAAATAACAGCACACCGAGGCTCAGAGGAGGCGCAGTGTGGAAAATACTCAGGTGCGGAGGTGCGCGCGCAAAGCGGGCTGGTGGCTGAGAGCGCGGTTGTCGTTTTCGGTCAGGGGGGAGTCTCAGACTCTGAGCTCCAGATACGGGCGAATCGCTGGGGACTCGGACCCAAACGGGAGAAGCGGGAGTGTCTGGCATCAGTTGGAAGGCAGCTTTCCCTCCGAGGTTTGCAGCGGTTCCGGGGGTTCTGAGAAGCAGAGCCTCTGGGAACAGGACTGAGGGCACCATAACGGCTCCCTCCGCCCGCCCTGTTGAGCCCGCCCCGCCCAAGCCCTGCGCAGAGCCATTTGCCGGATCGCCTCAGGCAAAGGCTAGATTAGCACCTCCCCAGAGGACAGAAGTTTTCCGCGGCAGACACAGCTGATTCACACAGCCAGTCGGCCTGGTGGTCAAATCCCTCTAGTATTAACTACAACAATCAAGGCTCAACTAGAACAAGACTGCGCACAAAGACCACTAGGGGGTGCACCAAGAAAGCATAAAAAATGCGGAGACAAAAAAACATGACAGAAATGGAGGATATAGAGCTAAAAATCGCAATTTTGAGGGCTTGCAAAAATGTGCTAGAAGCTGTCAATAAACTTGAGGAGAGAGTCACGAAAACTAATGAGACCCTCGATGCTATGATAAAGAACCAACTAGAAATTAAGCATACACGGACTGAAATAAAGAATATTATACAGACACCCAATAGCAGACCAGAGGAGCGCAAGAATCAAGTCAAAGATTTGAAATGCGAAGAAGCAAAAAACACCCAACCGGAAAAGCAAAATGAAAAAAGAATCCGAAAATACGAAGATAGTGTAAGGAGCCTCTGGGACAGCTTCAAGCGTACCAACATCAGAATAATAGGGGTGCCAGAAGATGAGAGACAGCAAGATATTGAAAACCTATTTGAAGAAATAATGGCAGAAAACTTCCCCCACCTGGTGAAAGAAATGGACTTACAGGTCCAAGAAGCGCAGAGAACCCCAAACAAAAGGAATCCAAAGAGGACCACACCAAGACACATCATAATTAAAATGCCAAGAGCAAAAGACAAAGAGAGAATCTTAAAAGCAGCAAGAGAAAGAGACTCAATTACCTACAAGGGAATACCCATACGACTGTCAGCTGATTTCTCAACAGAAACTTGGCAGGCCAGAAGGGAATGGCAAGAAATATTCAAAGTGATGAATACCAAGAACCTACAACCAAGATTACTTTATCCAGCAAAGCTATCATTCAGAATTGAAGGTCAGATAAAGAGCTTCACAGATAAGGAAAAGCTAAAGGAGTTCATCACCACTAAACCAGTATTATACGAAATGCTGAAAGGTATCCTTTAAGAAGAGGAAGAAGAAAAAGGTAAAGATACAAATTGTGAACAACAAACATGCATCTATCAACAAGTGAATCTAAGAATCAAGTGAATAAATAATCTGATTTACAGAATGAACTGGTGATTATAATGAATCAGGGACATAGAAAGGGAATGGACTGACTATTCTTGGGGGGGAAAGGGGAATGGGAGATGCGGGAAGAAACTGGACAAAAATCGTGCACCTATGGATGAGGACAGTGGGTGGGGAGGGAACTGGGAGGAGGGGAGTTATGGGGGGGAAAAAAGAGGAACAAATGTAACCTGAACAATAAAGATTTAATTAAAAAAAAAAAAGAAAAATTCTCCCTAAAATTGTTTCCATATTGTCTACTATAGAAAGAATGAGTTTCGGAGTCCAACAAAAATTTAAGTCCTAGCTCTGCTGCATACTGGCCTAATAATTTTAACATCTCTGCACCTATTTCCTTGCTTATAAAATGGGATTATTATACCTACCTCATAGAGTTCTTACATGAATAAATGAGAAACAAATCAAAAGGATTTAGCACTAGTTATATATTTAACCACGTGGTAACTGTATTAATTATATTAAGTCAAATAATTAAAAGGAAGCACAAAAGATTTATTATAGTCAGTAAAGTGCTAGTAAATATTTAACAATTGGCTTTCCTAACACCATACCCCTCTCCCCGAAAAAAGCTCTGCCTTGTAGTGTTTGCCATTTTCTGTGGTGTATGTACTTCTACCATAGCCCATTTCAAGCTATCCATTTCAACATGACATCACCAAACACAGAATTGGAAGCGATGTATACATAGCCATTGTACGGTAATTTCACCATGTAGATACATTAGATGTAAATAGCATCAAGAGCATAGGTAATATAGTAAAAGAATTAGGCATGATGAGTTTTTATTAGCTTTGTGCTTAATATAACTTATTGAATCATTAGTGTTCTGGAAAAAGGGAGTAGCATCTGCAAACCCAAAGAGAGAAGAACCTTGTGGGTTGGTGTCTGTGGACCTGAGAGGATGTCAGTGGGCAGAGTACAGTGAGTGGGGAAGTAGTGACAGTGCCGCCAGTTGGAGAAGGTATGGGAGGCCAGACCATGAAGGGCTTTGGAAGCCTTGTTCAGAGCAAATGTAAACTCGGAGAAGAGTTTTAAGCTTGAGTATAAAATAATCAGATTTACAATTAAAATTTTTATTTTATTAATTTCAGAGAGGAAGGAAGAGGGAGAGAGAGATAAAAACATCAATAATGAGAACCATTGATCAGTGGCCTCCTGCATGCTCCACACTGGAGATCGAATCCACACCCAGGGCATGTGCCCTTGATCAGAATCGAACCTGGGACCCTTCAGTCCACAGTCCAACGCTCTATCCATTGAGGCAAACCAGCTAGGGCAGATTTACATTTTTAAAAAGATCCCTCTAGCTGCTGTAGGAAAAAAATTGATTAGAAGGGTCCAGAATGGAAATCAAGAGGCTAGCTCAGACATTATTGCATTACTCCAACTGGGAGAGGATAGTGGTTTGGATTAGGAACATGGTAATAGAGATGAAGAGAAGTGGATGAATTGGAAACATATAGATTTACGAGGCAGAATTGATAAGGTTTGTGATTCCTTGCTGTATTGAAAAATACCATCTACCAAGTGATAATTCAGAACAAGAAAATAAAACAGGGGCATTTGCGATCTTGCTTCCCAGCATATGTTATCAGTTTTGGCTCAATTAAACTCGTAACAATTTAAAAAATAAAATAAAACAAAACATAACATACATACAGCATTGCTCCTTCTGGGAGATCAGATAAGCTGCATGTACTTTGCCTGATGGGTCACATAATTCAGTTGAATTACTTTTGGTAAGTGCCTGGTGTCTGATGTAACATATGGTTAACTGTGTCCTGCAAAAAGCCTTCACTCTTGTAAGGACAGGAAAAGACCTCTTTTTCTTTGCTGTGGCCTTCCACAATTTACGAAAAGCGCCTGGTAAGTAAACCCCAAGACTGTTGACTCCTCTGTTCAAACTGCAGGACAAGATATACTACTCTCAAGTCTACATTCTTGCATTCCCCTCCTTCCTACTGTTTTCACAACTTAGGATAATTCCCACCAAGGAGTCTCCACTTAGTAGAAAGTTCCCTTACCACTCCCCTTTCAGACAAGCCTCTTTTGAACTCTATAACTTTTGTTCTAAGCATGTTTTGCAGGCCAGGGGAAATACTAATAAGACACCTCCTTAGGACATCTGCCTGTCTCCTAGAAAGCAAACAAACTATAACTTTTCAAGACAACCCCAGGGGTACATGATCAATTTCAACATAATCCCCCTCCCTTCCTTATGACCTAGCAACAACTGATTGCTCTTTAAAAATGCAAGCCACTCTTTATTCCCTACCCTGTATTGATGAGCAATACACCAGCCTTTTCCTCCCTTAGAAGTAAAATAAATTTTCTCTCTGCATCTTTCTCTTAGTTGTGAATTCTTTCACAGCCTCCGTCACCAGCCCTAACCCTAACAACTCTCAGTTAGTCCTTTTAATTACCCATTAGGGATTACCCTGGGAATAATGTATTAAATAAAGCATAAGGAAATGTAATTTGTCATTGCTGTAATAAAATCCAATTTGTTTTCATATATGATTTACCGAAATATTTATATCATAGTTAATATATTAAATACAATTATAGTTAGGAAGCAGCACTGAAATCTTGATCTAAGTGCCCAGATAAAAATCACAAATATCAGTAAGTCCTAAAATACCAGATTAAACAGATGGCTCTTCACTAGTGTTCATATTTCAAAGCCAGAGACATTATACATGCTGAATATCAATTAGGAATTATGTCCACATTACTGCTAGCAGCGGTTCTCAACCTGTGGGTCGCGACCCCTTTGGGGGTCGAATGACCCTTTCACAGGGGTCGCCTAAGACCATCGGAAAACACATATATAATTACATATTGTTTTTGTGATTAATCACTATGCTTTAATTATGTTCAATTTGTAACAATGAAATTGGGGGTCACCACAACATGAGGAACTGTATTAAAGGGTCGCGGCATTAGGAAGGTTGAGAACCACTGGCTAAGAGCAAGAGCTAGGAGTTTCCATATTAATAGATCAGACTTCTTACCCAAATACACAAACCTTAGGGGCAGGTTAGTTTTTGCATGAGGGTTAAGTGAAAATATTAGCTAAAGCTGCCCTAACCGGTTTGGCTCAGTGGATAGAGCGTCTCCCCAGTAGCGGGTGTGCAGGAGGCAGCTGATCAATGTTTCTCTCTCATCGAAGTTTCTAACTCTCTATTCCTCTCCCTTCCTCTCTGTAAAAAATCAATAAAATATATTTTAAAAATATTAGCTAAAGCAAGGACGTGCCTCTCCCATCAATGGGTAGAATAAGAGATGAGTTTAAAACTCCTTTTTATAAGTAAAGCTCATGCTATAGCTTTGTAAATGCAATTTTTACTTCTCTCTCATGAGTTAATGATGGCTCTGTTCCAAGAACTTGTTGGGGGCCTAGAGTCCTTCCATCTTATTATTTCACCATCTCTGGGGTGTTATTCTTATCTGCATGGCAGACCACAAGGTCTCATTTTCCAGCCAGCAGGAGAAGAGAAAGGGGAAAGGATTACACATTCCTTTGGCCAGAGCTTGAAAATATTTTTTTTCATTGCAGCATTATTCATAACATCCAAAAGGTGTAAGCAACTCAAGTGTCTATTGATGGATGAGGATAAGCAAAATGTGGTATATACATAAAATAAAATATTATTCAGCCTTAAAAAGAAATGAAATTCTGACACATGCTACAATATGGATGAACCTTAGGACATTAAGCTAAATGAAATAAGTCAGGCACAAAAGGACAAATTGTGTGATTCCATTTACATGAAATTTTTAGAGTAGCCAAATTCATAAAAGCATGGTAGAAAAAAGAGAGTGGTGGTTGCTAGGGGCTAGGGGGTGAAGGGAATGGGGGGTTGTTGTTTAGCACAGAGTTTCAGTTTTGCAAGTGAAAGAGTTCTGGAGATGCCTGGTGGTGACAATTGCACAACAATGTGGACGTACTTTGTGCTGGGGTACATATCTGGCGCTTTGGCCAGACGGGTCATGCTGTGTTGTCTGTTCCTAAAACACGCAGATAGGAAGGTACTGACATCAGGCCAGGCCTTGAGATATGGTCTCATGACCCCTTCCCAGCACGCAGGTCTTCTTTCTCAGAAGGCCCGGAAGTCTCATTCCAAATTTGGGAGACAAAAGACTGGAAAAAGTATAAATAAAGAGAGTTTCCTCCACAGAATTTAATAATAAAATGTAACTCCTGTAGTCTGGGCTGCAGTTCAGCCTCTGCTTCGGCAGGGTGCTGTAACTGTGGTCAGCTGGCCAGCTTAATAAAGGCTCTTAAATTTAAATTCTGAGTCGGTGGTCTATCTCGCTGAGTCAACCCATAACATTTGGAGGCCCCCAGTGAGATCCCCTGGCAGGGGTGAGAGAAACCCCCTATTTAGGGCAGGAGGCTCTCCCCTGGCAGGGGTGAGAGGGACCCCTTATTTAGGGCAGAAGGCTCTCCCCCGGCAGGGGTGAGAGGGACCCCCTATTTAAGGCAGGAGGCTCTCCCCCATTTATCGCCGGGCACGCAGCGAGATACCCCACATCCCTGTGGGGAACGACTACCAAGGAGGCCTCCAGTCTCCATCCCGGGTCCCAGGGAGGCAGAGGAGACTCCACCCAAAACTTTCAATTCGGAAACTGAGCCACCTGGACTCTCAAGAGAGGTAAGGACCGGTTGTTAATCTGGAATTGGGACGTCCCACGGAAGGACCTATACGGAGGGCTGGACGCAGCGGTACTCCTGGTCCTGACCTGCGGCCACGACGGTGGCCGGGGTTTCTGGTTCGTGCGGCTATAGGCTGCACCGGGTTTGTTTGTTGTCTGGTGTTTGTTGTCTTTGTCTTTGTCAAAATGGGTCAGGGTCAGTCATCTTCATCAACCCCCTATCAATCAGGCCCACTCCAAGTGAGTGAAAGGGGAGCCTGATCACCTCCCGGAAAGCCATGGAGCTCCCTTAGGCAATTAGTCAGGAATTGGTTGGATTGCTTAAACTCTGAGTAAACATTTGGTAGAAGTCAAAAACTTGGACTGTCTGGTGTATGAATGTAAGTGTGAGAGTCTCTATGAAGCGAAAGTTACTTTGTGCTGTCTGGCTGTACACATAAGTGTATTTGTTATCTCTTTCTGTTGTTTGTTTAAAGATAGGGCAAACCCTGCTTTAAGGGGAAGAAAGTAGAGAACTTTTAATTGCTTTTCTCTGATGAATACTTTTGCTGTATTAGGTTAAAATTTGAAAAGTCCGAGGTTAATTTAAAGGTATAAGGTTGCAACCCAAAGAAGTTTAAACAAAGGCTTGTTAGGTTAAGATTAGTACATTTTCTCATGGCCTGTGTAGGGTGAGGGAGAGGGACTGCCGGATTTTTATCATGTGGTCCCGAGACCTGCGACTTGCCTGCCCTTCCTGATAGATTTACAGTAGGTCTCTGTCAGGGACAGCATCCGCTCTGACTGGGGGAGGAAGAGAGCTGAAAACTGTTCCGGAGCGGGTGTGAGATAGGGTAGTGGTGGTAGGAATCGCTAGATAGGGTGGTAGGCTCTCAGCCTGCTGAGATAGAGGAGCCCTAGGCTCGGGGACAAGGGTATAGGCAGATAGGTCAAAAGTAGTAAAAGACAAGGATTTGAGCCTCTGGGACTTAGAGTAGAAAAGGAAAAATCTAGGAGGGAGAGCAGCCAAGGACAGAGTAAATGGTTAATGCAGAAAAGAGGGGGGCCGTCCGCAGGGAAAGCAGACCAGAAGTTTTGTTGATTTTTACTTACCTACTGGACTCAAGGCCGCAAGCTGCTAAGCACAGTAAGTTTTTCTCTGCCCTGTTTTGTTCTCTTTAACCCTTCCAAGACTAAATTAGACTGATACAGTATACTTGAAATTGCATAGGGAAGGAAGCACCTGCTCTTAGTAATCTAAGAAATACTGGCTGTTTAAAGGATTGAGGTTTCTAAGAATAAGGGATTACTGAGTAGAAGGTCTGAGGCATGGTTATGCATTTTTAAAGGACATAGAAAGAAGGTTTAAAGGCTAATTTGAAAGTATGAAATTTATAAAGGTTGTGTATGTGATAAGAAGGAGAAGAGAAATGTTGAAAGGAAATTAATCAAATGGTACAGGCCAGTAAGCCAGAGAGAGTAAATAATTTATATTCTGCCTCCCTAAACAGAGGGTAAATAGTTATGCCAAAGTACTTAGGGAGGACTGATAAAAGAAATCTAACTGTTACTGTTTTGTTATAACTCTGGAGAGTCCTTAAAAAGGACTGGCAAGGAAAATCAGAAGATCTTAGGGCATGTCAGTGGCCTTTTCTCCTTATATAATTCCTCCGAAATTTGGCAATGCTTAAATACAGTCATGGCAATACATTTCTTTGCATAAATTCAATAAGACCGGTTTCCAATAGTGGTTTTATTGACCGGAAACTTTGACTGGAGTATCATGTTTTAAGGAGCCCTGTCTGAGCTCTGAAGACTTGAAGCCAATAAGAGTGCCACAGAGAAAGCCTGGTATCTTGCTTGGTAGCCCTAAAAATAGCTGGCACTGGAGCGTCAGGCCCATGCCCTACCATCACTGGCGGTTGGTCAGAGTAGAGGGGAGCACAGAACCCCCACGCACTCTGGGCCGTGATGAGAAGGAGGGCTACTGAGATGGGTTTTGAAGCAAGGACAATGGGCAGCAGATACTGAAGGCAGGCCTGATGGCAGCTGGATGGCTTGGCTTCCTGGCCCTATGGGGCACATTAAGATTCAATCATGAAATTCCAACAAAGGTAGTCAGTTACCATTCTTGTTGTGTTTATGCAAACAATCA